GATTAGGATCTCTTGGGTCTCTGAGAAATTTATGTTTTCATTTGGTTCCAGAATCATTTGATGTTTTCTAATACCACTCCTTGCACAGGATTTTAACTTACATTTTCTCCCTTCATTATTCACTGGTGATACATTTAAGAAGAATGATATAAAATATAGGTACCTAGGAAACTCATTCCCTATAGTGTCTCTTCCCTCCCTACTGTCTAGGAAATGGTTCTGGTCAGGTAAGCCTCAAACTTCAATCCTCCTGATCCCAGCCTCCCAAATAACCCAGTTTACAGGTATGAGCCAAGAGCAATCAGCAATAACCCATTTCTTTATAGTACTCTACAGATGTTCTTTCTCTTGCAATGAAACTGTCTCTCTTTAATCCACTCACAAAGTAAAAAAAAAAGTAAGTTAATACAACTTCAAATGCTTTTCTGTGCTGGATTAAAGTCTCAATAAACCTGTTGTATCACCAAAAATTCTAATTTAATGCATAGTAAGCTAAGATCCATCTACACGTTACACAGTATGCTACCAAGACCACCTACACGTTTGCCAAGATTGGGAGTAAAGTATGAAGTTACTATAAACATCTATCTATTATGTTTTTGTGTAGACATAGTTTATACTTATTTTATTAAATAATGTGCATTTTGGGCTATTATGAAAAGTGTTCAGTATTATTTTAAAAACCTGCAAGCCTGTGTTTCACTGTGCATAGTTTTGTATTTTCAGCAACAATGCATGAAGTCTCTTCTGATTCCCTCCCTAACATGTGAATTGTCTTTGTTTTGACATTTTATCATTCTAATGGAGGCATAGTGGCATCTCATTGAGATGGGAATTTGTAATTCCCTAAGATATAGCATTTAGCATATTTTTATACCTATTAGCTCCCTCTATATTTCCCATCAATGACAGCTCCTTTCAACTATCCCCATTTTACTAATTATTTTGTGAAATCTACGGTAGGAAATAATAGGTTGTAGGAAAATAAAAAACAAAGTTGGTTAAGAGATGAAGAAAGTTAAGTTTAAAATTTCAACCTACCAATTTATTCATCAAAATGGTCTTTTATGAAACTTCAGTATTGGTACAGTCTCATTCCTATCTCTCTTTGCCCTCTTTCTACCATTCAATAGAAATAAGGAATGGAGAAGCAAGTATGATTGTGAATGATAGGTTTACAGATGTTCAAGGCTAGATTCTCTTAAGTATGTATAAATGACATTCTGGAATTTCTCTTTTGCTTATCGACCAATCCGATTTGTCCGGTGCTCCAATTTCTGATCACTAGATCACTCTCTCTCATATTTATACCAGACAAATGGTCCTTACTTCCCTGTTTAATTGCCTCCTCCCCTTCCTTCCTTCCCTCCCTCCCTCCCTCCATCTCTCTCTCTCTCTCTCTCTCTTCCCCCTTTCTCTTTCCTCTCTCTCATTCTTTCTTTGTTTCTTTGTCTTCATTTTTTTTCCTGTCAGTAATATTAGTGTTTGAACTCAAAGATTTCCAAGCAGGTACTGTACCATGGAAGCAGCCCCTAATCAGTTTGATTTTAATTCTTTGTAGAATCGGGTCTTATACCCTGGCTGACTGAATACTGATCATCCTGTTTATATTTCTGAGATGATGAGACTGGTTGGCATGGGTGTTCACTATCTTATGAACTCTTTGCCAAGGATGACCTGAAATCATGATTCTCCCAGTCTCTGTCTTTCAAGTTTCTAAAATGACTGTTGTGAGCCAGGAGGTCCAGCCATTTAAATGTTGGGAAGAGCCTGGGGCATGTACTCTTTTCTCTTGTAAGTAATCACATTGTCTTCTATCAACTTCCTCAACTTTTTTGTCAGTTGTGTAGCTTGAACTCAGGGCCTGGAGGCTCTCTCTGAACTTTTATGCCAAAGGGCTACAGCTCTATCACTTCAAGCTATAGCTCCAATTCTGTTTTTCTGCTTGTTTATGGTAGATAATCATCACATGGACTTCCCTGCCAAGGTTGGCTTTGAACTAGGATCCTCAGATCTCAGCCTTCTGAGTAACTAGGATTAGAGGCTTGAGTCACTGGTGAGTTGCTATTTTAAGTTCCTTATTTAGGAAAGATAGTGGACAACACGTGACAACCTCAGGTTAATGGATATCAAAACACATGGAAAGTTCTGATACTACATACACAATTAAATTGGCTATAATTCATAATAAACAACTATACATTTATTTATATAGATCCAGAGAAAAATAAATTGGAGGCTCCAACCATTAAAAAATGATAAAGAGAAGAAACTGATAATTTTACTGGTTCCATCAATCCACACTGTACTTGTGTTGAACTATTACACCGAATTCTATTACTAAGTGCAATTAACACATACTAATAAAAATATAACATTTCAGGAAACTTGCGTGGGGAAAATTTTCACCCCTATACTTGTTGAACTGATATAAGAACCACCGTGATGGTAGAGTATTTTGAGAAGTTTGGTACAAGTGAGTCATATTCTTGGACTTTATTCTTTCAGTCTGTTTCTCACCAGTGTAAACTGTGAGAGATTACTGAAGTTCATTATGATGATGATAAATATTTTTTTTCTTCTTTTAAGAAAGCAAAAAAAAATTGAGGCTGGGAAGGTGGCTTAGTGGGTAGAGTGCTTGCCTTGCATGCATGAGGCTCTGGGTTTGATTCCTCAGCACCATATAAGCAGAAAAAGCCTGAAGTTGTGCTGTGGAAGTGGTAGAGTGCTAGCCTTGAGCTGATAGCTCAGGGACAGTGCCCAGATGCAGAGTTCAAGTCCCATGACTGACCAAAAAGAAATCCCAAAAAGCAACTTGAAAGAAAAAAAATGAAGTTAAACTTTATTTCCTTAGAAATTGCAATATGAATTCTCAAAAATATATGGTTACTACTAAGGTAAAATATACACTGCAGTTATTAAGCTGAATAATCTATTTAATGATAAAATATCACATTAAATTTCCATTGGAAAAGACTTGTAGTAAGCAGTATCTTGTTTATTCTTCATCATACAGCAAAAATGAGGAATTGTCGCCTCTGATTAATGTTAAATGCTACTAGGACTACAATTTCACGTACTTTTTGTAATGTTATTGCTCTATTAAAACCAAAAGTAGCTTTATATAATATGATTCTGAAGTTTAATTTGTGAGTGAGTGTGTGTGAGTGAGTGTGTGTGTGTGTGTGTGTGTGTCTGTGAGACTGAAGATCAAGCAATGTGTCTGGTGCATGTTCTGTAAGTGCTCTACCACTGAGCCACACTGTCAGCGCTTGTGTGTGTGTGTGTGTGTCTGTGAGACTGAAGATCAAGCAATGTGTCTGGTGCATGTTCTGTAAGTGCTCTACCACTGAGCCACACTGTCAGCGCTCGAGCTCATATTATTATATCATAATAATAATAATATCATAATAATATGAGCTCGAGCTGTTCTTTTCAGATAAAATAAGTACAGGTCATGGTCATGGAATCAAAGATCTAAAGTATCATAAGTTTTAGGCTACTTGAAAGATTTCTTTTATATTTTAACAGTTAAGAGTAAGCTCATGCATAGTTTAAACCTGTAATCTGGTATTTTGCACCACATCAATGTTATGAGAATAAAAGAATACCCTAACTAAAGGTTTTCTATTTAAATTTTTATACATTTTTTTCAATTGAATACTTAACATTGTTATTTAGATCAAATGCATATATGATTTTAAAATGACATTTTCAACATATCTTAACATGGAAGAACAATTTATCATGCTTAATATGTTCTATTCATCAGTGAAAATAAAGTTCAAAATGAAAGGGAATCTGGTAATATTTTACAGATAACATTTTTCATATACTGTCATCAATGAATATGGAAAGCTCAAAATATGAAGCAACTAATATTTTGCTCTGTGAAGTGAGCATGGATAATTCAATGAACTCATTCGAATCTTTTATAAAACAGCACCAATAGAGAAAGCGTTTTCTGCAGCCGTGTTTATGTTTCTAAATCCAATAAGTAGAGATAATTTTTTCGAGTGACAATTATTCATTTCTTTCTTTCTTATCAAATTTATAGACAATAGACAGTATAGAATTTGGCTTGAAACAAATTTCTACTTTGTTCTCTCTGATCTCAGAAAATAGGCAAAAGAGCAATATATTTCAGTTTTCAAATCTAGTTTTGTAACATCTGTTAATTTCCTAAATTTCTTCCCAGAGTCACAGAGTTCTGCCCTCATTGTAGCTTGTATGTATGAATCACATAAACTGCTAAAAATCTGAAAAAAGCATAACAGTGTGTCGAAGCATCTCACAAATTTATGACATGCATAGTAAGTGTTAAAAGGAAGAGGCAACAATGCTCGATAAGAAATGCTAATATAACTGTAACCCTTCTGTACAGTATTTTTACAATAAAAATACCCAAAAAAGATTTCACAAATACTTTAATACAAGAAAATTTTGTATTTCAGAATCACAGGCTCTATTAAAAATTAAATTCATGATAAAAATAAATCACGTTATTTTACTTTTGTATTCTCTTTTGTTGCTGTTTTAGATTTGTGTAACTTTTGTCTTGTATGTAAGTTAATCTGTTTTGGGGACAGTTAAGGTGAACAAATGCAGCAGTGATACTCACTAGACACTGTTGAAAATGAACTATACGGGGGTGGGAGTGGGTTTGGGGAAGAACAATTTGGAGAAAATGAGGGAAGTAGTGACACTGTTCAAAAATGTACTCATTATCTGACTTGTGTAACTGTAACCCCACTGTACATCACCTTTAGAATAACAATAAACAAATCATATAGTCTTAATAAATTGATTTAGCTTTCTCTAGTATAAATGATCAGGAGAAATCTCACCAATTTATTGGAAATATGTTATATAAAGAATTAAGGGGAGAGAACCACATTATATTTAAGGTTACTCAATTCTGAATAAGTGTGATCACAAATATATCTTTCTTCTTGTCAATTGGATGTGAGGAATAAGTCAGTCATATTTGACATCTGCATTCAATTGGTCATGGTTTTAACATTCCATAACTTTCTCATGGCATTTTTCACCTCTGCATTCCTCAGTGTGTAAATCAGTGGGTTGAGAAAGGGTGTGCCAATGGTATAAAACACTGTCACCATCTTGTCCACAGAATACGTGGTTGGAGGACGTGTATACATGAATATACAAGGAACAAAGGATATTATAACTACAAGGATGTGAGAAGAGCAAGTGGAGAGAGCTTTCTTCCTCCCTTCTGCACTGTGATTTCTCAGTGAATGCAAGATGACAAAATATGAGATCATCAAAATCAAGAAACTGCATGAACAAAGTGCTCCACTGTTGGACACGATCATTAGGTTGACCATGTAAGTGTCCGTGCAAGCAAGTTTCAACAAGGGCTGCACATCACAGCAATAATGGTCAATTAAATTGGGTCCACAGAAGGGCAATTTTACCAGCAAGACAATCTGAGAAGAGGCATGTATGAAAGACCCAGTCCAGGCAAACACAGTCAAGATGACACAGACCTGTCTTCTCATGATGGCTGAGTAGCGTAAGGGCTTACAGATGGCTATATAGCGATCAGCAGCCATAAAGATGAGGATAAAGATCTCCATGCAACCAAATAGATGCAGTGCAAAGACTTGGGTCATGCACTCGTTGTAGGAAATGATTTTCTTTGTGGAGAGGGAATCCACAATGAGCCTGGGAGCTATGGATGTGGAGAAGCAGAAATCAACAAGGGACAAATAAAACAGGAAGAAGTACATGGGGCTGCCGAGTGTCCTGCTGAACTTGATGGTCACCATGATGAGCGTATTCCCCACGACGGTGCTTCCATAGAAAGTTAAGAAGATGAAAAACACGAGGTTTTGCTTTTGGGGATCCTGTGTCAGCCCTAACAGTATAAATATAGTTACACTGCTGTTATTAGGCATTGTTTCAGTTGGTGCTGAGTAACACAGTTTACAGAAAAAAACGAAAAAGAAAAAGAAAAGAAAAGGAAATCTGCAAAGGAGCAAAGGAAAACTATAAAAGACTTCTAAATTTTGGCAGTTATGTTTTTAGTTATGAAGCTAATTTTTACTGAAGTTATCAATTTAACATTATGAAATGCAATTTGCCTATTGCACATAAAAGTAATGAAAGGGCAAACAGTTCTTTAAATGAAGCATGTATTATTTTATGTAGTTTCTTAGGAGGAAACAATCTTGTTAACTTTGACAAGGATTTATTATAAATAATTGGATAACATGATGAATACACTGAGAAATATGTCACACAATTTAATTTACTATGCTTTGACATTATTTGCAGACTTGACAATTGTTATAAGTGGCATTTGAGATACATATTTTGAATACTGCAATGTAATTATTTAAACATCAGAGACTATTATCCTCAATAAAATCTAGGTGCACACTCTAGTCCTACAGATGCAGAGTGAACAAAAGTGGCAGAAGTTGTGACAAAAATAGTGAATATTCTTCATTTCAGAAATGAAGAACCACCAGCTTTGTCCAGTTAGTTCAGAATTATGGTAAACTCTTACATTGGTTAAATTCATATTATTTAAGTTTGCCTCTCTATTGCATTAGTTCTATATTCTTCAACAAATTTTCATGCAAAGTGATGACAACATGAAACAAAAGTACAGAACAAGTGACATAAACCAGGAAAGATCTTTTATGAAGATTTATAATGAAACTCCAGGTGCTTAGAAATAATGTCTGTATCTTCAGTCAGAACTGACAATTTCAGTCTAATTCTCACCATATATATTTGTAAATATCTTCTTCTAGATGTCAGGTGAAGAAAGGGAAATATAAAGAGAATTGATATTAACTTGTAGTTTAATCTCTAACATATTTTATTTATTGCATAATATACTTATTATATATTCATAGTTTATATGCTTTAAGTTCATGTTTTGTTTGTCTTAAATATATTTGTAAATATATTTAATAAACATTTATGTACTATTAATAAATACACATTAATATAATTAACATATTTACTAGAATTTATTAATAATAGTAAATACAGTCATATAACTGTTAATACATATAATTGTAAAAAATTCAATTACATTTATCACACTATTCATATGAGTAGTTGTACTAAACACAAATAATATATTTTAAAGTATTTATTAACATAATTCTATTTTTACTACTCATGCTAATTTAAGCTAAATATATCTATAATGTTCAGTATCATTTTTATTAAATATTATATTTATATTTAGAAATGCATTTATGTATGTTAAATCTATTAATACATATGTAAATACACATTACATTTTATATAATGGTACATATTTACATAATATATTACATATAGGTAAATATTATATACAAAATTTCACAATATGTTTAAAAGACACAGGCAGAAAAAATTATTATTTCTAAAAATATAAATTTTAAAAATATAAACGTATTTCACAGACAAGTCAAATGTTACCAGAAAGATGCGCAAATAAATGATTTTCAAAAGTATCCTCTTAATTAAAAATATAAAGCGAGTACAGATTTGCTTGGTTTTATTGTCAGTTAACATTTAAATTAGAATTGGAGTTGTACAAGTTTTGAACCTTTGATATTTGTAGCACAATTTTTCTAGTAAATATCTTTAAACAACGTCACTGAGGAATGCGAGAGAATGTCAGTTACACATGTTTCGATAGATGCTCAGGAGTCTGCAGTCTCTAAGGGAGTGATTGTAAAAAGACACAGCAAAAAACTTCTGCAGACATTGGTTCAGAGGTTGAATTTCTCATAGATGGAGCCACAAAAGACACTAAGACCATTGCTGCAGCCCTTTCAGTGGTAGCAAAAGACATGAAGGAAGTCCAACTTCCACTACAGTACTAAATAAATAAATACATATTATGCTATATTTTTGAAAATGCTCATATGCAGTGGCGAGTTGCACATGTTAAATGCAATCATCTCTAAAAACATTAGAAACTAAAATTCACATTTTGATGTGATGTTTGTAGGATGACATTTTACTAAAATTAATTATGTGCTATATACTTATATATGCACAGGATTCTATACATTAAATCCTTTTGTAAGCTATTTATAAGTGCGTAGTACTTATAGTATCTGATTTCAGTATGGAAATTTCATTTCCCTTAAAATGATTCAACTTGTCCACATTTGAAAGTGTGTTACACTAAATTAAAAATGAAGTTGTAAAACGTCCTACCTTAGAAGACTGGGGCTCACATTGTCCTATCGCTCAGCCATCGCAACTCTGTGTAGATAGGCAGTGTGCTGGCACTGTTGTGCCATTATTTCAGATCCTGAGGCTTGAATACAATGGTGAGTACACTGTTGATTAAGTGATAGAACTTGATGATCTTTGAATACAGAATTCACCACACTAACAGATAGACTGGCTTTATTTCAACATACAAATGTAAAATATATTTTAAGCTTCTAAAATAAGTAACAGAAATATAATCTGTTCAAATATCTACATATAATTATTTACATACATTACAATGAACAAGTAGACCTACGCAGCTAAAAAAATGACGTTTGTAGAGAACAGTCATCAGTTTTGCTAATTATTGACATACGGCAACCTGACAGTATTTAGAGATTGCAGATCGATTCGGATTAAGCCTGTTTCATAGTATTGTGTATCTGGCTGTCATTGAGAAACAGGGATGTCTGAGTCTTGTTATATTCATAGCAGCATTACCATTGCTGAAGAGAAATTCCTGGACAATTTCAGAGTGGTGACATTTCAATTGAATTAACTTTAAAATGATCTAATGGTGCTTAAGTAAAATATCTCTAACAGTGCTTACCTTGTAAATGTTGTTAGCATTAAGAAATACCATGCATGTCTTGATTGTCATCTTCTTTTTCTGGGTTGTAAACCATTTTAGACAAGTCCTGATTCTACACATGCCTGACATACTGTAGGAACTGGCTGTGCTATTATTATTCTGCAAGTATGAGACATGGTGACATTAAAAGATAGCTTACCAGCTTTGGTGACAGTAAAAGATATCTTACAAGCTTTGGTAACAATGGAGGGAGTTTGGTGTGTTGTGTCTCCTTCCTTTCTTTGTAAATAACTTGGGAACTATTTACGTTAATGAGAATTTTTAAAGTGCTTCTCATTAATATCTGATAATTCTGAAATCAAGATCTTTTGGATCTCCAAGAGGAATTTATGTTTTCACTTGGTTCCAGAATCATTCGATATTTTCTCTAACTACTCCTTGCACGGGATTTTAACTTTCATTTTCCCCTCTCTTTATTCCCTGGTGATACACTTAACAAGAATGACAGAAAACATAGGTGTCTGGGAAACGCATTTCCCTAAAGTGTCTCTTCCCTCCCAATTAAGAAACAGGAGCCAGGTGAGTTAAAGAACTTAATCTGAATTTTGCCTTCTATTATACAAAATGTAGGATATTACTTCAACTAAAATGACATTCAGAATAGCAAATGCAATGTTTATCTAGAATAAATAAAAACAATGTAGCACTCACACTTTTGTTCTAATAGCAATCTTAAATAAAATGATCATGGAAGAAATGGACAATCTGTGAATATGTGTGAGAATGTCCTGTGTGGTATAAAGGATGTGAGTGACAGAATTCACACAGCACCCATGCAACGTTGAATTTATTCACTGTAGACATGGATCATTTGAAAGACTATTTGATGGCCATATATATAAGGAAAGAAACCTCACATTAACAACCTCACAGTAAATTTAACCAAAAGTAATGTAATTTTTTTATTGTGAAAATACTATACAGAGGGGTTACAATTACATGGGCAAGATAATGAGTACATTTCTTATCAAGCATTGTTGCCTCCTCCTCCTTTGTTTCCCCTTCCCATCCCTTCCAATCTCCCTCTTCCTCCCTACCTTCCCCATCCCCCCCCAGCCAAAGTTGTAAAGTTCATTTTTCGACATAACGTCTTATGTCTCATTGTTGCAATGGGTCCACCTGTAGCCCTATTTAAACAATTTGTTTTTTCCCTTCACCTCCACAAATTATATCAACATCAAATATAGTGAAAACAGGGGTATTGGAATTTTTAATGTACACATATCAATTGGTCAGTGTGTATGTATGTGTACCAAAGACTCTACAGTCATCAATAATTTAGTAAAAATAAATGACTGGAGGAGAAAAATGAAAAACTTCTGGGGATAAAATTCAAAATTATTTTTATGGATGTATGCTCAAAGTCTTATAGTATCTCCCTCTCTCAAATTTTAAGTGTGATTGGCACAGTCTGACAGAATGGGCCTAGTCCACTGAACAAAGGAAGTATCATCAAGAGATGAATGATTCCATCACTCATATTTATGTATTGCTTACATGTGCCCACTGACTTGACAAGATGAAAAGGACACTTCCGTGATTTGAACTGTCACAAAGTTTTATGCTAATCTTGAGAACAAAATATTCAGTACAACTGAAGACTTCAGAGAAGTCTATAACTTAAGCTCCCGAGCGCTGGCAAGGTCATTCAAAATGGGAAAATATCAAGCAGTGGTCACTGTCAAAGTATGCAAAAGGAAATGGGATAAGTAAATGAATTTGCTGTCCTAAATAGAGATATGAAGAGATTAGGAAATGAATTTGAAGTATGTATGTCATAAATCACAATTAGTAATCATTTTGACAAATGTGTCATACTAATTTGAGATGATAAGTTGAGAAACTAAGTGTGAGTATATGGGAACTCTTTGGAATCTTTTCACAAAGTTTCTGAAAATATACATCTATTTGAAAATAAATTGTGCAATTGATATAAATATAAGATTATTATAAAATTTGACAGTCTATTGGATACTCAAAGAGCTTTAATTTGTATAAACAATTTTTATCTAAATGTTGGCAGATCTAACTACCATTTACTAAAACATAGCATTTTAGAAAATATTATTCTAT